TTAAGCATCTTTAAAACATTAACAAAAAGGAGTCACTCCCCATCAGCACGCGGGCTTTGATCCATGATTTCACTTTTTTGCCACTGATGGCCAAGGTTGCATGTTTGTAGAAACAGCTTCTTAACTAACAGACTTTTGCTTCTAAGGTTGGATCCAATTTTTTTCTGAGAGTAGGACTGGTTGGAAATCTACAGTCTGATAAAAAAAAATTGTGACATGCTCATAGCTCCCCATTTTTTCTGAAGTTCATAGCATCTTCCAACATGGTTTTAACAGAATTTCAAACTTCCAAGTTACAAGAGTTTGCTTCTAAGGTTGGAACCAATTGATGTGGAAGTTAAACATGGAATGGAAGAACAGCTACAAAATGGTGGAACAAAATTCTGACATGCTCAAAGCTTCCATCTTTTTTGGTTCAGACTTGTACCATCTCTCACTATAGTTTTGATAAAATCAGCTAAAAATGCAGATAGCTAGCTTAGCTTTTAAACTAGAAAGACTAGCCAATGTCTTTTATCACTAAAAGCAGCTTTGGTATAGGGTGTTGGGAAGGTGGGGTTCTCAATATGCCTATGGGGTAATAATATCACTATTTAAATGATGGATGTTATTCCCACCTGAGACAGAGATATCAAAAGACAAACAAGTAAAAAGAATACAAGGTGGGTTGCCTTGTGCTAGGAGATGTATGAAATACTTATTCATCAAGCTAGCAAGGAAGGAGAAAAAAAATTGTTCAAGAAATGCTAGACTAACAATATCAACAGAAACATAGTTATCATAGAATGTAATAATGGATGCAACACCTATTAAAGCTAAATCAAGAATTATACCATCAAGACATGTAGGACAGACATCCTCTTCTTCTGAGGAAGAATAAACATATCCAATTCCAACTGTTGCTTTTGCTGATGAGATCTTTAATGAGGATCTAGAACGCTGTTCCTTGCCTCCTTCACAAGCAGATGCATTCCATTTGTCTCCTGTGCTGAAGGATTCAGAATCAGCATCATTATCACTTCTCAAGGGTTCTGATTCCTCATGTGAATGACTGGAACCCTTCTCTCGTCTTGAAACCAGACCATCACGCTGCAAGCGTGAACATCTGGGGTCAGCATCATAGGGCAAGGGCCGCGGAGGAGATCGGTACATTTCAGCAAGAGAGTTGTCAAGAGATGAAGAAGTCAGAGATGCTGCCCCTTGAATGGATGAAGGGACAGAATGCACTTGCCCTCTATGAAATATTGAGGTATACTACAAACAATGAGGGAAAAGAAAGAAGAAAGATAATATTTAGAACTCCATTAGAAGGAATATGAACTAATATTGAATTGCATTTCTAATTCCACATAAATCAACTTGGAAGTTCTGAATAAACACTTTTTCATATAAACATGATACTCGAACAAATAAAATCAAACAAATGCATTGCAATAAAAAATTCACTTTAGCTAAAACTAATGATCCGGAGGACTTTCCATGATAAGAAGCGCACCAACCAATATGCTTTCAATTCTTTCCAACTTCTACCACCCATTGCATTACCATGGTGGTAGATACCAATAGCAATATAGAGGATTCATGTGCTCAAAAGTGGCAGCAACAATGTTACATGTAAAAAAAATAGTACCTTAACCAGCTAATGGGTGTCTTTAGCTCGTCCTTTAGATCTCTAAGATATCTATGCCTAATCATTAATTTGTCAACCATTAAGAACCAACATTCAAGAGCAAAACAATGCGGATGCCTTTCATCTTTAGGCATCATTCTTTCCTTCACACTCTTTCACTCATCCATTTTATACCTCACAGGTTAAATAAAAAACCCAGTCAACAGCCATAAAAAATATAGTAATATATGATACACCGCATAAGACCTCTAATCCTATTGCCATGAGGAAATGCAGGAGGGGAAGCATACCACATGTAGGAATTTCTGGACAAAGCAACTGAGGCACAAGCAGTTTCTATATACAGAATTCTCAGGATTCATATAATCCTCAAAATCATCAACATGCAAACAGCAACAAACAGAACCCATTGTGTCAGTTCCAATCTCACTCGCTACAGCAATTCTCCAATATCACCAACAAAAATTAATGCCGCTGGCCTTAAGCATCAAGAAGTATTCTCTTGCACATTATATAGAGAATGAAAGCGGACTCTAAGCTCGTAGGAGTTCAATAGCCTCCACGAACCAGTATCCTCATTGTCTTAGTTACCAAATGCCAATTGCCTCCTCTTTTTTTCCTTTTGTTGAACAACTCGTGGGGCTAAATACTTTTCTGCCTGTAAATCAGGAGAGAATCATGTTAAAAAGATCGTGTCACTAATAAAAATCAGAAAGATTCACTAAAATGATATTACTAGAGCAAATTGGAGAGCTAAATTAAGCAGTTTGATTTCTTCAATTAATTCAGCTTTACAAACAGATGCCCCATCATAGACATGAAAAAAAGAGACTTTCTCCATGAATAAAAAAATGACTTAAATTGATAGCTATATTCAAGCTGTGCGAGCAAGATCAGTACAAAGAATCTTCAATTAACTACCATATTAACTAAAAAGGTAATGGTGAAAAAAATTGGTTGATAAGTTTCGGAGAAAACCGAGGATTGTCAGTCAAGAATTTTCTTTCTTTTTCCAGGAAGAAAAATGGCAATCATTGCTTGCTCTTCACAAAACTTCCTATCAAAATCAGATAAAGGGTTCTTTCTCTTAATAGAAAGAAACAATTTTGAACAATCAAAAACTGAAATTGAGAAGCCAAGAGACAGACCTCCGCAAACATCCCCCATAAACGATCACCAAGCAAGCAAAAAAAAACTTCTCAATTACGTCCAAAACCCAAAAAAAAAAAACCAAGTGAAAACAAAAGATTCAACACAAAAACAGACATGGATCATTAAATTGAAAGACAAGCCGTTGAGATTTTCACATGTTTAAGACAAATTTGCGGTCTTATAAGAAAAGGAAATTGAGAATGATGTAAAATAGAAAGCACCTTGTAAGAGCTGAGACAAGTTGTAGAAAAGAACAGAGAATGGATATTTCGATATCAGTTTCGGCGAGAAAAGCTATGAATTTGCGGGATTAAAGGTGAGTCTTTGTCTGTCCTCTGTGCGTGGTGGGTGGTGGAATCAATCCACTTCCAACTTGTTAATTACACAATAATATTATAATAGTACTTTAACCTATACTAATACAATTTCGTGTCATCTTATCATTTATTATCGTCGTTATGGTAACTCTTTACTTTATTTTGTCTTTTATTATTTCATGAATTTATTTAATTGTGGGGCATCCTTCTTCTTCTTTTTTACGTTTCCTTTTGCTTTGACAGCAATAATATATGCTTTTTATGAATTATGAACGTCCTTCCAGTTGTTTTTTAAGTATTTTCTATATTAAAATAATATTTTTTATTTTTAATAAATTATTTTTAAAATTAATATATCAAAATAATTTAAAATATAAAATATTTAATTTTTTTAAAATATAGGTATAACAGCGTTTTCAAATGCTCATTATATATAACATTTCAATAAAAAAAGGTTTAACAGAAATTATTAATTATACTTTTTTATATTGAAGGTTTTGAGAGAAAAATATTAAATAGAATTCATGTAAAATTATAAAATTATAGTATATATTAATTAATTATATATTTTTAAAATTATACCTATAGCAAAACACAGTTTTGACTACAACTCGGTACACTATAAAATGAATCCTAAGGTTACATGAAATAACTATTATGTATTTCTCAAGGTCATTTTAAAAGAATATTGTTAAAAACTTTAAAAAAAAAATGCAAAGACATGGAAAATCTAAGAATGCACATAAAAAGAAGTTAAAATTAAAGGAAAAATCACTTTTCACTCATGCTCATCTTACTGTTCATTATAACAGTGAAGTAATATTTTTACCCTTCCAAAAAAGTCACTT